CATCTGCCCTATCATTGTTCATTTTGGTACTTAGCACGCGCATCGATGCATGACGTGGTGTGAATTTGCGCGCGCAGTAAGGATGCGCAGAAACAATTAGCGCGAACGTCCTTAATTTCAAAGATTTGACTATTTCCGGCAGAATTTTCCCACGTTAAACATTAAACTGTGTTGTTCATGATCAGAGAGCCATCATTCCTTATAACTGGTTTTTGGTGGCTGACCAAAGGATCGGGGATCTGGGGGGACGGTGGGGGGCGGGGTTAGACCTTATGCTAATTGGCTTCTTGCATCTACCAACAAGTGTAACAATGTCGCAAAAAATGCGCGTTGAAGCGGTTCTGTTCATTTCGTGCCACTCTCCCTGGGTGGATCCTTGCAAATCGTAGGCTCGATTTCCAGCCGTTTTGGGAGTCCGGTTGTTGATCCTCCTACAGAAACGGCTGGAAATCGAGCTTAGGCCAATCGCAGTTCCCACTCTTTTAATAGCAGATTTGCACGATTGCGTCATTTGACTACAACTACCAGAATTCCTTTCGTTTTTTCTTTATTACTTAAATGTTGAATTCCCAGTGGGGTTTAAATAACAATTGGCCTAATTAGCATAAGAAACAGAAAAAGTGAAGGATTTTGGTAGTTGTAGTCAAATGACACCATCATGCATATCGCTTATTGAGCGCTGTACCGAGGACTTCTAAAAGAGTAAACTAAAAACATATCTATGTCTGGATTTATGAAAACCATGTTAAAGAAATCGCGCCCTGCTCGAGCGTTCTTTCCTCGCCAAAGACTATTCCCAAAGTAGACGACAGAGAAATTAAAAGGAAAGTCCGTCTGTTTTTTCCTCCACTCTCTCATCTTCCTTTTCTTGCTCTTCTCTTAGCTTGGAGTGATTTTAAGGCCTTCAGGAGTCATGAAATCAAAGTGCATATGGGTGACGGATTTGGTGTTAAGAATTGACAGTTTTCAGAAATACAGTCATATACATGTATATGCTGGTCATGAAAGAGGAGAGAAAGGAACCTGCCTTTTGGGCCCAAGGAGCGGCAGGCTGGCTGATCACTTACCGAACATCGGCAGGCAGGAGGGTGATAGGCTCCTGCGGTAGAGGTTATCGATACAGTCGCACCTGGTTGACATCGACAAAAGCGCATCCTAAATCGAGAAGTGAGGGATACATGGCGTTTAACTGACTTCAGGGAAAAGGGGGAGAAAGAATACTCCGGGAAAGCAAATTAAATCCAAACCACTTCCTGTTGTTTTCTCTCTCCGTTTCTTACGCTGCGTCCAACTGTCGACCGCCTGACACAGACCAGACAGGATTTGAGGTGATAAGGTGAAGAAAATTGATCCATACCGCGCGTCGTTGGTCTCTGTTTCTGTTTGGCTTCTGTCTCTGATTGTATTACAGTACGTACTTACATGCTACAATTTAAAGACAAAAATGTCGCACCCCGACCTTCTCATAACTACCACCTCTCTACAACGGCCACTTTTCTGTCCCCGAGGTGGCCATTGTGGAGAAGTTCGACTGCATACAGATTCTCCAACTTTCTGAAATTCTCCTATTACCTTAAATTGATAAATTGTCCATACTAACCTGTGTCTTGGCCTGTTTTGCTTTTTCCTTCTCCTTTCTTTCGTACGCTTCTTTCTGAGCTTTAGCTAAAACAAACAAATCATTACGTTTAAGGTAAGGTAAAGTCTGCATACGAGCCTACTGGCCTATCAGGCCGACGCTGATCTCCGCTTTCAGCAGCATAATGCGATTAGGAGGATTTCTACTTCCCCCTAGATGGGAAGCAATTTTCGGTCGTGTAATATATTTCTTATTGACCAACCTTGCTCTGGACTGTACTGGGAGACCATTGAACATTGGCCCTCGATCTATTTTGTAAGGACCGTACGCAGCGTGGTCCGTCCTGTCAAGATCTCGGGCCGATATTCTCCCAGTACGGCCCTCGCGCTTGGTTAATATGATATATATATTGTTCAATACATGTACATATTGCGTGTACGAGAATGTGCATGCGGTATCCAAGGATGCGAGACACACAAAAAATAAATACCAGAGAAAAGAGAGGCTCTCAGCTGAATATATCCTTTCTGTTTATCACTCACCACTGCTGGTGAAATGTACAGTGTAGATATGAGCGCAAAACAAGAGGTTTCCAGGGAAATGAAAATGTGCGGTTTACCCAAGGGGATAAAGTCCTACTTGTTAACTCCCACGTTTTAACCAACTGCAGTGTATCGAGTGCGTTCACTCACATAAATTTTCATAGTAGGATTCCTCTGGCCAACATGTTGGGTCAAACAAACTCTATAACAAAAAGAAAAAAGCAGCAAATAAAACAGAGACTTTTCAATTGCGGGAGCATGTGTCACGTGTCATGGGTCAAAATGCACTAACTCCCCAGGGTGAACAAAACTCACTAAACACCTAGAGAAAAAACAACTTGAACTTTCGACTCACAGGCGATCAGGTTGTGCACCTTGAAACCATGGCAACTTTACGTACCAGTCAAGGCAAGCAAATAATTTTTTAGCAGTTTATTCTGCTGTTGAGTTGGGAGGTATGACAAAACACTTAATGACTGGGCCCACGAGAAACAATGAGCTTTGTTTCCCCTGGACCCTTAATGTTCCCCTCAGCTTTGCCTCAGGGAACATTGAGGGTCCCAGGGAAACAAAACTCACAGTTTCCCTTGTGGCCAGTCATTAAATGCTTATTGTCTATCCTAAAATAACGTAGACCTTCAAACTACATGTATTTTACTATCCATGTCATGGACATTGCTCTTACAATGGAAATTCTTGAGAGGTCTATTTTCATCTTTCTTGCATACAAATCTAACTTTATGCATGAAGCCTACGCTTTTAGTTCAAGTTGACCAGTGGCATTTTCTTCCAAGAAAAAAGAAACAAAAGAAACAAAAACATAATGCACAGGATAATGGATAATTAGCCAAACCAACGTTACAGGGCATTCAGACTCTGATAATCATGTATTCAGGTACATGTACAGTGCTCAGTGTATGAAATCAAAATGAGTGGATTACATCAAACAGAGTTGTTACCTTCGGATAATTGCTCCCCGTTTCATCGATATTAAGGAATGTCACCAGCTTCTTATAAATACTGAAATAACAGTACAATAAATTGGTATAAATAATTGTTGAACTGTACATGCTAGTTAACTATATTATTTAATATTCACAAAATTGATATTTTTGGTAAGTCTAATTGGTTAAAGCTAAAAGATTAACAATATTATACAGTGTATGTTTCCAAAATGTGTTCTGTAAGTCTAATTGGCTAAAACTGACATGTGTAATGTGATAGTGTTCATCATCAGGGAATAGTGCATGCGTTGTAAGTGTCTTGGCATAGTTGTCTAAATTTCCAAAGTTTATCTTGACTTTTAAAATGGTTGCATAATTAAGTCCCTGAGTATAATTCTTGAGCTACATGTACCAGTTACTGTAATTACTTTTTAGAATATAAAAATTCTGCAGTCACAACAATCAGCATACACCGTACAGGTGTATAGGAAATTACATGAAAACTCTCTATTGTTTTCATAAGATAAGGCAACTGAGAATTCAAGATCCTGACAAAACTTGTAGAATGGATGTCTCACAATACTTAATGTGATCCCTTTCATGTACTCACCTTGGATTTCTGAAGTCTTTCCTCTTTTGTATATTGGTATTTAAATCAAGGTTTCCTCTGTGTTTCTTTTCCAAGAGTTTCATAATCTTCTCCTGTAAAGAAGAAACATACCAAATATTTAGTACTGTATGCTCACTGTTGTATGTTTTTCATGTTAAATGTACCTTAGCAGCACAGAACTTTGACTTGTCTTTCACTTTGTCAACCCCCCACAGAAGCCCTAGGGGAGGAGGTAAGGGTGGTTTATGGTTTCAATTTGTCTTTGGCTTAAGACTTTTCACATCAGTNCTAAATATATAAGAAACTATTTCCCTAAATAAACATGGTGTAATTTGTATCATCTTTATTGATGAAATATTGTTCTTACTGCAGAAATTTTCAAGTAAAAATTTTTGGCCCTTGACAAATTTTTCAAGACCAAAAAATTTGTGCCAGCGACCAAATCTAAAAACTTAGGAGCCAGCTGGCCCCAAGGTTTTTTACTTAAGTCAAGCCCTGAGATTCTCCCATACAGACCTCCTGCTCAGCCAAGAGCCAATTATCAAATGAATTACAGTTCAACCTCTATTAAAGAGCCACCCTCAGGAGAATGGAGAGAAGCTGCTCAATAGAGGTAAAAATAATAGAAAAACCCTCATCGGGACTTTGATTACTTGCTGCCTAATAGGGGTGGCTGTTTAATATGGGGCTGCTTAATAGGGGTGCGACTGTATTACACCCAGAATACCTGATTTTTAGCACCTTCTCCGGCGTCTTCTTCCTCTTCTGCCACATCATCATATGACACCAGACGAGCACCTTTATTACACAATAAATACTGTTTTATTATTAATCAAAACTATAACAAAATTCTTGAATGTGATTGGCCATCAGCAGCCCAATTTGAGCATTGGACAGTATATGCATCATACTTGTAATTGGACAGTACCTGTCATTTTGCGCGTGCTGTTTCAGTGCACTTTGTTGAGTAAACCGCTGTGTTTTTCAGCATTCATAACGACGTTTAATCGTTCAGCACTAAATCGATGGTTTGTTCGTTCCTCGAATTTTGTCATAGTTTTGATCTATTGGTAACAGCGCTTCGCATCATCCAATTCAGTCAGTAATCATACTCGTGATTAACAAATCGGACTCCCGCTTCGTGGTTGTCTGATTTTGTTAATCACTCGTATGATTACAGACCGAACTGGACTCCACTCAGTCCTATTACCATTATAAATCATTTCTGCACTGTCTCATCCTCGTCAGGTAAAAGGAAATGATAAATGTTGAGTAAAATTAGTCAAGCAAATGATTGTTTGAAGGAATTTTACATCTTTGTCCAAAAACACAAACGGGCACGATTCATCAAAGTAGGAGTATTTTCAAATCAAATGATTTTTCAACTTTCGAAATGTTTAGCTTAAAGCCTTCTGACATGTAGACTGTACATGTTTGTCTTTCACACTGTATTGTAAAAGTATACGTATGCACGCACTGGTCTAGATCTTTCTTGAAAGCCGTCTCCATAGGCTTACAGAAACAAATCCTTTACCACACACATTACACTAAGCTTACTTGAAGTCACTCTGGCTTGAGCAACATAAGGTCTCGGCACAACTATCGGTTTGACTTGATTGTCTTTGCTTTCTACTTCCTCATCAGAATCTTCAATGTCACTTTCACCAAGTCCATAATCTGCAAGAGAATTTAAAGACCCTATTCTTGGATTATCCATGCCTTATTTCACGAGACTGGCGTTGATAAAAACAAAAATGTGTCCACAATTCACCGAACAGCCATTTCCGCCATTTTGAGTATGACGAGCATGTCACAAACGCGNTTATCCATGCCTTATTTCACGAGACTGGCGTTGATAAAAACAAAAATGTGTCCACAATTCACCGAACAGCCATTTCCGCCATTTTGAGTATGACGAGCATGTCACAAACGCGTGTTCGGTGTATCGCGGGCACAGATGGATAATCCATGCGGACTTGACGGCGGACTTTGCCGAACTTAAATGTACGTGCCTAGCAACTGTGGGAAACACAAGAAAGGCGTTCAAAGAAGGAAAAAAATACTCAATGCTTCCGTAGCTTCACGGATTGCCTTTTTGAAATTATCAAGTGACCTAACAATCGCCATCAATGACTTATCGAAATTGTCCCATTCGTTCCAGCAAAGTTAGTCAAAGTCCAGTGACCCTTCAAATTCCGTTTCGAGACACTCTCACGTACATTGTCCTAAAGCTAGTGTTATATTCATAGTAATCTCTATTAAAAACAATGGTAGAAGAACTTATCCACAAGTTATTTAAACACTTCAGTTCATCATGGTTTTGAGAGCAGCTTCCTCTGCTGCGGTACGTGGTCTCAGAGACTGATGAACAAGAGGGTAAAACTAGAACTATTTTAAAATTTATTGTTAACTTCCTTGAGTAATTTAATAAAAATAATAATAATAATAAAAAATAGTCCCTGCTGTTTTTCAAAGTCCAGTCAAGCTAGAGTTCAGTAATTCCCTTCCCGCTTGTGCACGCTTGTCACGCAACATTTCCTCCCTCAAAGATTGCGTGATGAGCCCAAAGGTCGGGTCTAGGCCCCACAAATAGATCAAAGGACACTATATTTCACAGTACATGACCACAGTACAGGAAGAAGATCGAACAGAATTGACTGACGTTCGAAGCGGTGAGGATCGAGCAGTGAGGATTTTGATAGCATCGTTTGAAATAACAGAAATGCCTGGAAATGAAGAATTGATCACGGTAGGCTTAAAACATGCGGTTTTACTGTTAGCAAATCATAATTGCGTGCTTAATGCACCGATGGTACTCTTGAACCTTGAACCGTATAAAAACACGTCGTAAACATTTTGGCATTAGCCGTTTTTTTGTTTTTTTGAGCATTGTGTAAACGTGCTTGAAAACCTTTTTCTATGTGCAACTGCACTTCACTTCGGTCTTGCTCTTCCTTCTTACAAACATTGCAGTATGTAAAATTAAACTTTCACTGTTTTCGAAACATTTTGATCGAGAATGACCACATTACAAGAAATAAGACTTATTGTAAGCAAGGAGCAAACTGAATTTGAGCTATCGTACCCGGACTTTTTGGTCCAGCAGCGAGTGTAGAAGTTAAACTTAAACTTACTTGTAAATTACGTAACTTCTTTAATCTAGTCAGTTGGCTCGCAGTTGTTGTTAATTTTCAGTGTCTTGCAGTTATATACGCGTTTTGCTGTTTGTCGATTGTTTCGAGCCCTTAGTGCAGAGGGCGATTAATCAAGCACGATCTTAGATCTCATTGTTAGGTTAACCAGAACTCTTTAAGAACAATATGAAGCAGTAACATGCAAATAAGTTGCCGGGTCTTGTAGAATTTAGCCGGTTTTATATTTAGTAAACATGTAAATTGCCATATTGAATATTATTGCATAATGTCATGTGATCTATGGTGACCTTGAATGACTACATGTGATACTCCTCCCTTATATCAAGCAGGGCTTTTCTTTCATGATTGGTCATTTACTATTAATAAACCACTCCAACTCATTACGCTTCTAAGAGTAAGACTTCTTTTAGACCAAAGTTAACTTAGAACCTCGAAGCAGCTTAAAATCATTCAGTGAAAGATTACATGTAACTCTTTGTTGACAAAAAGTTGAAATGCTTTCATTTCACATTGAAACACTCATCATGTAAAACAAGCAGCAGTGATAAACATTTTAAAAACATGCATTTTATGAACTTGATGTTTCGCTGTTTGTTTTATATTCTTAATCAAGCTACGATGGCCGAAGACCAAGAGTTCATATGATACTTATCATGTAGTTTGTATTACAGTTTTATTCAGTAATATCACTTTCAAAAGGTCAATTGCCTTCTTTGAAAGCTTTTGTTTGTGAAATTACGCCTCTGTGTTATTTATGATGGCTATTGTAATTTTAAAACCCAAAGGAGTACATGTAATCAAAATATGTTTTGTCTTTGGCTTATATTATGGTCTATTATGTTAGCATCTGCTAACCTATATTCTCCAGGTGTATTTCTGTTGAATTGCATGTAGATAAGCTGCATCTTATAAAGAGAAATTGAAGCTGTATTTGGAGAAAAATAATCTTTTTTTAATTGATGACTGCAGCTCGCAACTAAATAAAAATTCAAAATAAGCAAGATCTAATCTGCTGACATACACGTAGCACATGGTCTGAGAGAATTTCCTGAATGATTCATTGTTGTATTTTTCAAGGTCAGCACATGGGCTGTGAATGATGCAATGATTTTGTAAAAGTATACATGTCTAGACAAGTTTCTGTCTTGCAATGTAAATATTCACTACTCTCTCCATTAAGCCAAGCTCTTGAATGATACTAAAAGAAATGTGTTTAAAATTAAATGAAGACCAGGCTTTGACAGCTTGAGCATGTGTACTTGTAAGGGTTTATAATAATTGTTTGTGGGGGAAAAAAAGATGTTGTTTCTTATCTTTTTGAACTTGAAAATGGTGTCATGACTCTGAAGTGTTGTTTGTGTTTATCATTAATTTTTACTTGCTTGTGCATTCAAAAAGGGTTAGTGCAATAAAACAGTCGCAATCACTGGACATGCAAAGATAGTGACTGTCATGTCTAGTTAGCTCACGTGCTGGTGGATTTTGTGATCAGGTCGATCACTGGATCTCATACTTCACTTGCAACTGAAGTCTTACTGTATAAGTTACTTCAAATCACAAAATATTTACATGTAAATCCTCTCACACGGAATTACATTACATGTATATGAAAGCCGCCTTATGATTATAGGTTTTTTAACATACATGTGAATTCCAACTACAGTACATATATACATGTACATAACATTTACATGTACTTTGGGCAGTTGTGCTAGCTAGAGAGTGCTTCT